ATATACCTGGCCTGTGGCTACTGTGTACTTATACAATGACATAGCATTGCACAGTGCCCCTCTGGCCTCCTGCACCAGAGTGGTGACCGCTGCGACAGTTCTGTCCTGTGACGCAAAACTTGCCACAACGGTCCCAAAATCACCACCCCGGGCCATTCCTTGATTTAATCAGATATTAGGACGACAAAGGTTGAAGGTAGTGTGAGATTAGAAAGTAAAAGTTGTAATAGAAATCATTTCAGTAAATACTAGAGAAAAAATTGTACATCTTATCACATAAATGGAAGTACTAGTATAAGAAGTAATGTACAAAACTTCTATAATATAGTGAATTATAAATATATTACAGGATAGGTATAAATGGAAGCATTGGTTGATGTATCAGCAGAGAATGAAGGAAGATCCGAAAAACAACAACTCAAAACTTCCAATGGCCGGTCAAGTGGACGGTGGAATTGTTGATCTACATACACAATCGTCGAATATGTCATGTGTTGCTTGTCAAAGACATCACACAACGTTAAAAATAGAAGCACATCAACACAAGCACCCACACGCCCTACCGATATTCGCAGCTCGCAAGGCGCCGCTATCATTGCCGCCATCACCACACATCCCCGTGATCACACCCACGCTCATGTATGCCTCCACACACTCCTTTTTCTCTCTGGGGGTCATCTCAGCAAACACACGAACGATGGACAGGACGCGTGCAAGCTCGCCGCGTGCTTTGAGCACGTCGAAGGCCTTTCCGGTGATAGCAAGTTCCACGCCCGTGTGCGCGCCCAAGCCTATATATGGTAGTGAGTGGTGCGGGGTGCAGGCTAAGCTATATATAGAATAGTAACCAAAGTCCAGCCTATAAATGGTTAGAGAATCACAGCACCCGCCGCTCTGGAAATTTCATTTAATAGGCCTCCTTAACAATCTGTTTTTGTGTTTGTGTTCGGATCCAAAACTTAAAGTTTATGTACCTGTTATAGTGAACAGTGTGAGACGATCACTATAAACCCTAAACCAATCTGGTAGTTTCGATGAACAGACCCTAATACTTCAAATTAATTTGTGACTCTGGATCCAAACTGATAATTTGGATAAAAAGACCCTAATATGTACAATATACATGGACTTTAACCTAGACCCTAATATTAACAACATATTTCTGGTTCTGGATCCCAACAGATAGTTTGGATGAATGGACCCTAATATTAATACTAGGCATAGACCCTAACCAAGACCCTAATACTTACAACTAATTTCTGGCTCTAGATCTGTACTGATAATTTGAATGAATAAACTTTAACTTAGACCCTAATGATGATAACTAATTTCTGGCTCATCCAAACTGATAATTTGGAAGAATAGACCCTAACTTAGACCCTAATACTTACAACTAATTTCTGGCTCTGTATTCAAACTAATCATTCGGATGAATAGACCCATATTGATACTAGATATTGACCCTAACTTGGACCCTAATATTAAAAACTAATTTCTGGCTCTGTATTCAAACTAATCATTCGGATGAATAGACACTAATATTGATACTAGGCACCTAATTATTTAAAACTAATTGCTGACTCTGGATCCAAAATACAGAAATCACATACCTCCTGAATTGGGCGGGGGGTCTGATATATTTGTGTCGTAGAAATCAATCCCAACCGGATCCTCCTCAACTGCGATGGTAGGTATCTGATTAACAGAAAGTTAGACGGCGTCAATTTTAATGGCCAGTTGGCAAAGTACAGAGCAGCGCAGTGCGTGCATAAGCCCATGTCAAAAGAGGAAAGTGTCACAAGGTGGATGTGGCAAACATCTATTGGACGTCACTGAACTAGTGGATCGGGTTACAGAAGTCTCGAGAATGCTGAAGCACCCGACCCTCATACCTACCTGAATAGACGGGATACTATCAACCCCAACCTACCAAATCAACCATTTCGGTACATATACCTACAGATATATCCGTGTACATACTCGGAAAAGGCGACAAAAATAGAACAGCTGGATATGTATAAAACTGTCAAATATGTACCACCGACTGACTTAATCGAACAACATACGACGCTTATGCAGCACTTACATCATCGCTCCTTCTTCCAGTTCCTTTGTCCGCCGCGCCCAAATCTATTTTCAGCGCACCCTCCCCATCCGTGTGGCTCGGAGCATCAAACGACACCATGTCAAACCCTGACTGTGTGGCGCCGTCTCCGTCCGCCTGCACCCGTTCTTCCGAATCTCGGACTAATTTTGCCCCAAATATATTCTCCATGGACACGTCGTCGTCGTCACTTCCCATCATTGCACTGGGGTGTTCCCCTATGCCTTGTCCTGTGCTTTGGGATTGGTCTGTCGAGTGCGGCTGCGATGGTGACGGTGGGCAGTAACCTGAAAGGGATATTGGTATACAATACAAGCAAGCCTTTGAGACTATACTATAAAAAAGTTTGAAAGCCCGTAAAATTTCGCATGTAAAGAATGCAAGTAT